TAAAGTTATGAAGATAACAAAGCAAATAGAATTGTATATTGCAAGGTGGGTTAACAAAAGTGTGTTTTAAAGAAACTTGAGATCCTGTGGTGTCTCCAGAGGCTGTAGTGCTCGAAGCTGAAAGTCTTGTTTCATTGTAGTAAATGAAAACATGCATGAATGCTCCTGTCCTTCAAATCATTGTGCAGCAATCTTGTCCGTTCTGTACCTAAATGAGAATGTGCTGGAGAATAAGGGAATAGGCAGAATTTAAGTGCATCCAGCATTTTCTAAATGCATAGTTAGGAAACAACTAACAACTAAATTGCCTCTTCCAATAAGTAACTCTTCGACATTAAGGTGAAAAATGGAGCAGTACACATGAATCAGATGAGCAAAACTGTTCAATATGTCTCTCTTGAGTTTAATTTTTTTTCTAAGAAATTGATGTTCATCTATGATTACTATTATGTATCCAGAGATAAGAGTTAAATAGCCCTTGGGTGGGAAAGGATATCAAAAGTGAATGTATTTAGAAATATTTTCACTGAAGGCTTATCAGTTCATTTATTTAGATTTTCCTAAACTTGAAAAAGCTGCAGCAGACTGGGGAGGTTGGGGGATAGTAGGGAGGGAAACAAATATCAAGGAAGGGTTTTTCTGATAACTTAATATAAGACAATCTATGTGGGTATAACTTGAATTCTAGGTGTTTCCTTTACTGCTCCCTTTCCTCCTCTATGGCTACAGTGGTGTAGCTAGTTACATGGGTTACTGGTGACTGTTAAAAATGACTGTAGACAAACACTTCAATAAACCTTGCTTGGCCTGTAGTTTGCCTAGGCCTTGTGAGACTCTTTGTTGAGGTTTAGTGTTTACGTCTGCTAGCATGAAGTAGGAGAGCAAGGAAAAAGGCGGAAATTTTTTACTAAAACTTAATCTGTTGTTGTTATTCAAATGTCTCAAAGTTATCTTCATCACTATCACCACCCAAAAAGCCACCCTTGCAGCTGAAGACATAGATTTGAATTACTGCCAAAGCAGAAACATACAAATGGAAAGAAAAAGGAAAAAAAAAGACTTGTGAGGAAATGAGTGTCAAGGATGAAAAGGATGAATGGAAATATCTGCTGTTATAAAATGGAATCTGTCTTGAAAAGAACAGATCAAAATACTGGAGTTAATATGATAATAAGCAAGACTAGGGCAATCCAGAAATGAGTTTGATGTGGAAAATACCAAATCTATCAGAAACATTTTAATATAGTAAAGTATCCTGTGCACATACTGCTGTTCTTTCGCAGCTGTATAGTAATTGTCTTTCTAACTTCAGACCTGCCAAGTGGTGTGTTTGAAAATGGTACTCAAATGTCAGCTTCATTTTATCACATGTAATCTTCTTGGATGTTCTCCTGATGCTTAGACTGAGTCATTCAAATACATTTGTTGAAAATGTGCTTCCAGTCTCAGTTGTGAGATGCTACTTATGGTGTCCTTGCTTCTGGCACTTCATGCTGTTTGGTGCTTTTACCCTCTCTGCCATTCTTCTGCTTCCTGGAAGCCCTCTTTATCAGGCAAGCCTGTTGGCAGTGATGATTTCATTTACCAAATGAATTCTTTCTTTCTCAGAGACAATCTTACTGCCGTGAAAGCTGAAGTCCTGCCTGCAGCGAGATGGTTGTGTGCTTATTTGCTGGAAGTTTCTCCTGTCAAAGCCTTTAGTCTTGGTCAACACCAGGGCTCCAGTGTACTTCACTATTGTACCAGGACCCCTGCAGTTAACTATGATCTGAAGATCTCCCTTGACGCCACCGTGGGTGGTTGTGTAGATGAGCAGTAGGTAATATTGCAGTAGTCAAGTGAACTGGAAAATCTTCCAGCAACATCGTTAGGTCTTGTCTCTGGGCAAGCAGCACGCCTTCAGAGATGGCACGTCTGTATGCATGTGGAAGTCTTCATCCCACTTACAAAGAGGTCTGCAACCACAACCAGCCACTGCTTCCTTTTAGTGGCATTGGTAGTGGACGTGTGGACTGGGCTTAGATGCCAAACCTAGCAGCACTTGTTCCTCCTCCCCTGTTCCTCATCTCTGGGCCTTTTCAGCACCTCTTTCTGTTGCTTCAACTCACAGTTTAAGCCTGCTTTGTCTTGGAAGACCTTATCCTAGCAGGAATACAGCAGATTTGGTAGAAGGTGATCATAAGCAGAGTGGGGGGAAACTGCTTGAAAAGGAAGTTGGCAACTTTGTTTAGGAAAGTAAACTAAGAAAATGTTCTTCCATGAAAAGACCAGCAGTATCATAAACTTCTGCTTATGAAAACTGTTGAGGTGACCTGACTTGAATCATAAAAGTTGTCAAATAGTGAATAGAACTGATACTCTTTTTAGATGAAGATACAAGATGCCAAGTAACAAATTGGTTAAGAGGTAGATGGAATTAAATTGACATAATCAAGCATTGCAAAATAATAAAGATCTGTGCTTCTCTTCAATTTGGAGTCGAATAGTGTCTGTGATAAATTAGCACTACGTGCATAAGGCAGTTTGAAGTTAGGAAAGCAACCAGCCACCAAGAGATGCTTGTGAAAACACCTGTAAAATGAACATGGAACAGCTTTTTTATTTTTGAGTATTTGGTGAGATGCAGGTGTGTGAGCAAAGTGTATCTCTGACTACTGTCTGCAGGCCCTTCAGGCTTTTGAAGACTGCTAAAGCAGCTGCTTTCACTTCCAATGAAAGTTTTATTGAAAATCGTGATGTCAAATGATTGCACTTTATAAAATGGTCCTGGCAGATATTCAGCAGCAGCTGTATGAGAAGCCAAAATGTTTTGGTTTTTTTCTGTTTAGGCTAAATTGAAATTTTGATAAATAGGAACCTGAACAAGCTCAAGAAGTGAGCCTATGTCAACCTAATGAGTCCAACAAGGCCAAGTGCATGTGTTGAGTTTTAGTAAAGACAGTCCCAGATATGTAAACAGACTGGGAAAGGAACTCCCTTAAATCCTCCTGAATCCTTCAGGCAGCTGAGAACTGCCTGAAGTAGGAGTGGAATATATCTTTTCTGGGAGAATTTGGGAATAAGGCCAGGAAAAGACTATGTTGTGAGGTTTGTGGATGATATCTGTGTGGTTTGGTTACACAGCTGAGAGATGGGATGCCATCTTGGGAGAACCTGGTGAGATTCAGCAAAGCCACAAACAAGGTCTTGCATCTGGGTTGTGGCAACCCCCACTGTCAGTACAAGATGGGAGATGAAGTGGTAGAGCACAGCCTTGCAAAAAGGACCTGGAGTACTGGTGGATGGCAAGCTGGACATGTGTCAGCAATGTGCCCTTGCAGCCGAGAAAGCCAACCGTATCCTGGGCTGCATTGAAAGAAATGTGGCCAGCAGGGCAAGGGAGGTGATCCTGCCCGTCTGCTCTGTGCTGGTGAGGACTCACCTGGAGTACTGCATCCAGATGTGGAGTCCTCTGTACAGGAGACTATAAACAGCCCCAGTTCCTTCAGTTGCTCCTTGTAAGGCATGTTCTCCAAGCTCTAGAATGATTTGAATTTATATGGCACTGAATCACTGATTCAGTGGACGATATTTCAGTAAAATTTCAGCGTTCATTTGGGCCTTGGAATTTTGCTTTCTAATTCTTGGGGACTATATTAATAAAAAAAAAAATCGAGAAATTGCAAAAAAAAAAAAAAAAAAGACATCTAAGATAGAAATAAACACTTGTATCTCAAATCATGGAATTATTGAAAGTATAATTGCATTCAGTTGAATTTAATAATATATAATTCATGTATGAAAACATGGAGTTATGCAAAATCTGAAAGGTACCCTTTAATGCAAGTGTGACCTTTCTGATTGAGCAGCTCCTGTGTGTTAAGCAAAATTTTCTCATTTATGTTAGAATTTTAATCTATTATTTAAGACTACTAAAGGTACAGTGGATATTTATTCCTCCTCTGTCACCAAATACAACACTCCTCACACCAACACGCATACAGTCTAAAGCAGTGTAAATATTGCTGGTGATAGAGGGCATCACAAATGTTGAGCAGGCATAATAAAGTCTGTCAGTTCTCTGCTGACAGGCAGTTTTTTCTCAAGGATATCTTTTTTTGTAGTAGGGTGATAAAATACTCTTGTAAAGTGCTAGAATGTAGCTCCATCTTTGATATGGGCAGCCGCCAAGTCCCAAGTATGGAGAACATGAACCTTCAAATGCTGCTTTGAATTATCCTCTTAGCTGAAAATAGGCTTACTATATAGAAGTCTATAGAAGAGGAGGCACTTGAAAACTGTTTACGTTTTGAATTATACTTATGTTGATAATGAGATACAATTTTTCACCGTATTTCATCAGTTGTCCTGTTTTGTTGTGTGTGGGATGGCTTTTTTGTTTGTTAGTTGATTTGCTCCTCTCCACTGCTGCAGGATGTGATTTTACAAAGTACCTAGAACAGAATAGCTGGTCAATCTGGAAAATAATTGGATTTATCTAATCCTCAATTTTAAAAGGTTTTTGTACAGATACTTAGAACTGCAGAGAACTTCTGTAACATCAGAAGCAGAAGTTTTTAAATACATTTTTAGGAATACTGGCCTTCTGAGATAGTGTGATGTTAGTGAGTCTAAGCAAGATGTTTCTAATTTTTGCAGTCCTATCCCTTCCCGCTCTCTTCTTCCAATTTCTAATTCACAGTGTAAGAAAGGCTTCACTTGTGTAGAGCTATGAGGTTAATCTTCCCACCTTTAAGATTCTGTGGCAGTTATTTTAAGTCTAATGAGGTTGTTGGGGCATGGCTTAATAGGCTGACTGTGTGCAGATGGCAGCTGCCTTGTCTTGTGTTTATCTTCTAATCCTGTTGAACGGTCCTTTAGCTGCAGGAATATTTATATGATAAATGCAACAATTTTTGAAATTGCTCGTGGGATTTGAGAGTATTTGATGTTAGTTTTCTCAAATTTGCTTTCCTTTTAAAATAAACATTTAATTCACTGTTCTAAATGTTTGTTTCCAGGTTTTGAAAGTATTTTAGAAGGGCTTTATGGACCAAGGCTACGAAGAGACCTCAGTTTATTTGAAGGTAAATGGGCCAACTTTTAGTTCAATGATCTTTATTTGCAAGTTTTTCTTTTAGCTAGAAGTACTCTAAAATATGTATTTCTTTAACAAAAAAAAAAAAAAAAAAAAAAAAAGCAGGAAATCTCCAGTTGTTTTTCTTTCTAATGTATTTTTCTTCACATTCATGTCAGTACTGTGCAGAGGCAAAACCCAATTTGAAAGTACTTGGGTTGTATATGCAGTGAAATTTTGGATTAGTAAAGCTTTCCTGAGTAGCTCTCATGAGCATTTTACTTTTCTGGAATATTTCATCTCTGGTTTCGTTCTCTGGACATCTTTTAGACCAGCTTGACTTCTCTACTAGCATTAATTGGAAAAGGGAAGATTATGAATGCTAATTGGCTTTTTCTATTACTCAAATTTTAATATTTATGTAAAATATATATATATATATTTTTTTTTCCACTCTTGTGCAATATCTGTCCTTATTTCATGTGAGTTTGGTGTTGGAGTGTTAATAACATCTAGGTGTTTAGCTAAGTATTTATCAGTTTTTAACAAAAGCCAAGGATGAGAATCTAGCACTAAATAGCCTTGAAATTTTGAAATAAATGTTTTGTTGAAATAATTTCCATAGTTTTAAAAAAAGCTTCTTTGTTATAAGCTTTCAAAACGTTCAATTTAATTTCTGATAGTTTTATTGTTTGGTAATGTAATTTATGAAGTTTATACTTTATATGCTGGTAGCACATGAGGTGGAGAGTTACATACTGTGTATGTTTGCTTAGAGCAGGTTTGGAACAATTGCTTTAACATGGCTCTGGTTTTGTTGTCTCTGTATTGCATAAGTTCCTTGGCCTGTATCATATGCACAAGGAAGGGGAAGAACTTCAAAACATTATTTCACTGCTATTTTAAGATTAATTTTCTGTCATTTATAAAGTTAGGCATGCCTCTAGTCAGACTCTGAAAAACACATGTGTAGAATTGGGCTAAAGCTTATTTTCTGGATTAGTATTTCCATCTAGTGTGTTTAAAAACAAGCATGTTACTCTGGAAGGTGAAGAGGGCAGTGTTAATCTTAGTGTACACTATTTTTGGTTTGGTTCTAATTCTAATGTGTTGTTATGTGGTAGGCTTCATATTGATCAGTTATTAAAGTTTTATTTTCTTGCGTTAAAACGTTTACAGTTTGAAAGAAAATTCAGGGTATTCTTGGGGTTTTGCATAAGAAGACAAAGCACTGACCAGGACAGAAGTGTTACAGCTAGAAGAGCCCAATAGTCAACTGTAAAGTGTTAAGTTACTGCTTTAGAGTTGCTTCATGTCCGTTGCTTCACTTCTAATGGGAAATACTTATTAACCTCGTGTTGTTGAAGATTTCTTGTGACCTTCCATTTAAGGTGATCTGTGGTGTCCATTGTTTACAGAGGATCTTTGGCTTACTAGGTTTTTTTCGTCCTGCAGATAAAGTTCATGTTAATCTAAAATGTAATCTGTTGATTACATTTTATCCCACTGCATTTGCCAGTAATATTTCCGTTTGTCTTGTTGAGTTCTTCTTTTTTTTTTTTTTTTTTTTTTTTTTTTTGACTGTTAAAGCTTTTTCCTATATGTCTGACACACCTGTAAAGCTGTTTTCAGTTCTGAAGCAACTGCAGAAGACATAGATGATGATAGGGTGCCCTCCTTACCTTATTCCTTTTTATTCATTTTTTTTTTATACATATAGGTACTATAACAGTCTGAAAGAGATTGCTGTGCTCCTTAAATGTGGTAGACATTGACCTTATAGGATGCAGGTCTGTTTCTAAATTGTCATCAGAATTGTGTTGTAAAGTCTAATGCAGCAGTTTTGTGTAAGATTGACAATAGATCTTCCCTTTCAGTATAAAAGTACAGTTTTTCCGTTTTAAAGATAAAGAAACTGAGACAAACTGGATTTGCCTTATTTTAAAAATGTGGCTGGTATGAAGAACAAAATGCACATTTTTAGGCTCAGCAACATTCCAAAGTCACTATGTCCTATAAGTTGTCTATTTTGTTTGTCATGAGCGCTGTACTACTACTATGTATATGCAGCATTATGCCTCTCTACCAGGAATGTATGTTTCTTTGAGTGGAGATCAAGAAATCAGATATCTTACTAACCTGAAAATATGCGAGGATCTGCTGAAATAAAATAAATAAATTACAGTGACAACTTTCAGATGTAGATTTTAGTTTTACTGGTTTATTTTTCTTACTTTTCAAGGAAAATACCTTGTAAACCTTAGAAATTATTTTACTAAATATCCAGGTTGATTAAGTAGCCATTCATGATAACAGATAGCTACCTGGAGAGGGAAGGATTTTCATCATTATCCTAAAATTCTTTCGCATTATATGTGTAGGACTTGTATTTGCATGAATAATTATCATCACCTTCATTATTCATCATCTTTTTCTTTTTTTTCTCCTTGTCTGCTTTAATAGCTTGTCTTCTAGGTGCAAAACTGTCCAGTGCGTATCTTGGTATTAGGTCTTCCTAATTGTTTGCTTACACCCATGTTCTGCTAAATAGATTCACATGTAATTTGTTACTCTTTACATTCTATATATGGATATTGAGCTGAAATGTTGGCTTTTCTTCTGTTATGTGTGTGTTTCTTATTTTGGGTTTGTGTTCTGAGATTTTGGATGAGATTTGAAAGGAGAGGATTCTGTTATAGACAGAGAGAATGCATTATTGTGCAGTGTGAAAAAGCAGCTCTCAAAAAAAAAGACCAATAATTTTGAGGGTGTACTGTATTATTTTTTTTTCCCTTGAATTCCTGAATATTTATTCATAGTGGAAGTAAAGCACTGAAAACTTATGTTAGAAGCATGAATCTTTAGTTGTAGTCAGGGCTTCATGATAAAAAGTAGTAACACAATCAGCACCTCGGTTATTTAATGTTCTTACTAAGGAAAATAGCTTTTTTTTTTAAAAAAAAAAAAAGGATTTGTTTGCAATTGTGACAGCTGTAATAATTGTGACACTGTAATGCAAAAAACATGGAAAATGCAAAGTTGTTTTTATATACTCTTTCCAGACTTAGTAGACAATTTAATATTTAAGAGGTAAATATGAAAGCTGTTTTAGTACTGCACGTCTGTTAATTTGCTTAATTCAATGTGGCAGGAAAAAAATTTGAGGGAAACAAAGATTTAAATGACTTAATTGAAAATAGGTGATAGTTTTGTCAAAGATCAATATTTTATTTAAGAAAGGAAATAGATTTAGCGGCTTTGAACTAAATGGCATTGGTTTGAAGTAGTAATCTGAACCATGCTTAGCATTAAAATGCTCTTTGCAGCTTTTGCTCAAGGGCTGGCTAGTTTTCTAGGTTGTTGCCAAGTCTTTATTGGCTGACACCAAGCAGCATAAAGAAAGATCAACCTTATTCTCTCCCCCAAAGTTGTATGTAGCCAAGAGGCTATCTGTGCCTCTGGTCTTTCTAAGAGTATGATTGTCTATCTGTAGTTAAAAACTAGTACTGAAATCAGTATGTTTTCTCCCGTGACCTAAGACAGTCATATGCCTGGCATTTGATGTATCGACAAACACCGCAGCAGTTGCCTATGTTTGCCTTTTTTTCTCTCAGAAAAGCGCTGGTCTGAGGTGAGGAATAAGACATTTCTGAAGGTATCTTTCAAAAGCCACTTGTGAGATGTGAAATCAAGTTGCCCTGAGCCTACATCTGTTACTGATGTATCATTAACAACAGCCTATGTGTAAAGAAAAACATTAGTTGGTTCTTTTTTTTAATTTCCTGCGCCAGAAGAGAAGTATGAATGCACGCATTGCTGTGCAACTGCTGAAAAACTCTGCAGTAAGATGAAGCTCTGAAGGAAGATGTCTAGGAGGACAGTTTGAAATAATTTTGTTACTGCAAAGAGCCTCTTTCTTCCCTTTATTTCTCATGTTATTTTTTTCTAAAATATGAGTTGAGTGTTTGAGACAATCTCTGGCAGATCCTTTAGCCTTTGTCTTTTCATCAGTACTGTGGTTTTTAACCATTCTTTTAAAAAGTTATAACAATTGTTCTTATCTTTTTACTCAATTTCAAAGTACTTGTATTACAGAAGTTCAGAATTGATCCATTACCTATATATTTTTGAGTTCTTATTCTCTTGGCATTTTTCTTTAGCTCACTGGATTCCTGATACATTACATTAACATGAGATAGTCTTTTTTTGCATAAATTTAGTGTCATGCAGAGCTGATGCTTCTCAGGTCTTGCCTGTTTGCTGACGCACAGGGATTGCTCTCCAATTGGACTTTTAATAGTGGAACTTGAAAATTTCTAGTCCAAAGAATTTCTCTGATAACTATAAAATTTGTCCTGGAGTTACACTCACAATCTCAACGTTCACAAGTAGTCCTATTGTGGTTTCAGGGAGAACTATGAAAACATGTATTTGTTAATGAAAGTGTAGCGTGCATCAGTTTTTTATAAGCAGACATGCTGAATGAATAGCTCTACCAGTCAGGAGTGTTGAGATTAACATTGTTCTTACTGTACAGTCAGGAAAATCCTGTCTTTTTTTTTTTTTTATGATCAATTCTTTCTCCAACATATCAAAATCGCTCTGTATTTCCAGGAATGCAAACCAGCAGATTTTTAATGCAGAATTCTGCTTTACGTTCATATTTGAGAATGAAGCTTACACTATTACCTCAGAATTTTTATTTTTAAACTAATTATGTTCAAATTCAACATAGGACCCTCATTTTCTTTTGGGTTAATTTTATTTCTGGTGGTTCCTCTGTGATAAGATATTTGGGAGAGTTAACAGAAGAAAACAAAAATAAAACCACTGCCAACAAAACTGTACAGCATTCATGAGAGAGGAATGTGGGCAGGGGGAAGGAACATGAGAAACGTTTTTGAGACACCAGTGTCAGAGAAGGAGAGAGAGAAGGTACTCCAGGTATTGGGGCAGAGATTCCCTTGCAGTAGCCTGGGGAGGGTACCACCTGGGGAAATAACCTGGAGC